AAGAGTGAGGACTGAACCTGAATATGTTTACATTTCCTATCATAGCTACCACAACATGACGCGTTAGCAAAGGGAAGTAATTGGTGTGGGCTAGCACACACTGAAGCGAAAAAAAGACTGCACTCGTGGCGATAAAGACAAATACTGACAGTGAAAGCGCTTACAGCACGATATATATAATACTTGAGGTGTGCATATAAGACAGAATAAATGTTATAATTACAAACAGCTCTACATATGAATGAAATTATAATGCGATGCTAATTCATGATGTGCTGTATTTGACTTGATATCGCGATTTTGCCACTACTAACCAATGTACGTACCTTTGGCTGCCATTGAACACATGCATATGCGAGTATATAGAGGCTATTTCCATCTCTGCAAATGTAATAACATTAGAAAAAAACATACATCAATACAGTGCTTCCTATAGTTAGTATATTCACATGTAAGCTCAGGGTTGTACTAGCTTACAGTTAATTATTCTGTTGAAAAAGCAAAAGCACGAATGTCGAGAAGATAGTTTACAATTAAAATCATGTTTTTTAGGGAGAAGTGTAATTGCAATAACGAGAAAGACAAGTGAAAACTACGAAATACAATAAGGGAATTAATTGTTAAAACTTGCAAACGTCATGAATTTGCCTAAGATTAACGAAGTTTACTGAGCTGCTTTAGTATTAAAACGCTTTTCACATCTAGATATCCTAAGAGTGCCCAGAGCTTTGTGTTCGCAACAAATCTCTAAGAAAATCAAAAGGGCTTGCAAAACACAGTGCAAAATTACCCATGGTGCAGACGAACGGTCTGTTATATTCTCAAATAAGTATGAATTCAGAGCCAATATCCCACGAGCAAAACACGCGTTGCAACAACAAAGGAAAAGGGACGCCATGTCTGTCAACGTCACATGCCTAAATAGGATATTTTACACTTACCCTTATTCTAAATAAAATAAAAATATCTAAAGAAAATTTAAAATTTCAAGAAGATATGTTATTGTACGTATGAATCGTGGAACACATCTAGTTACATGCGTGAATGTCTATATTTACCATCGGTAGAAGGGTATGCAGGCATAGAAGGCGTGGTTAAATAGCTGACAAAGTTGTGTCAGTGGGTAATATAAAACAGGGCGGTTCTGACAAGTGGCTATACAGACAAGGACTGTTACACCGTCCATATATAGCAGATGGGTGCGGGCTGTTAGTGCCAGTTGGACAGACACTACCAGTAAACTGGATGAAGTATTGATTTCACATCATTTTAGAACACTCTTCCTCTACCCATTATGCATGGGATGTTGACTCTGGGATTGGGCAGTGCGAATTACAGTGTAACATGAGAATTTAACATTAAGTTTGTTAATTTGTTATTTCTTTTTTTTTTACTATTATCATCATTCCAAATATATGAAATTAAACACTGTAATCTGCAAGAAAACGTCCCAACACTCATTTATATATATTTCCATGTTTTGAGATATTCCGTCATTATCGGGCTGGATACTAACGTGACCATGGATCATGCATGCTGAAAGCATGTTCAACGCAAATTGTGTCATTGTTATGAGTCGTTAAAGCGTCTGTTCTGGCCCCAACTACCAGGCCCTGTCAACGATCACAAAATTACATGGTAACAATGACGAAAATATTTTTATTCGGACATTAACTATAACAAAACTGGTACTTTGAGATTATTATTCCATAACAACCAACTGTCGTCGCGTGATTAACGGAAATTAATGGTGGAAAACTAGGTGCCAAAATGATGGTTGACGGGTTATTGATGATAATACTCTAATGTATGTGTCGTCTGTAGTATCAGATGACTAGATCTAGGTGATATTACCCTTATGTTTGTGTTGTCTGTAGTATCAGATGACTAGATCTAGGTGATATTACCTTTATGTATGTGTCGTCTGTAGCTAGTATCAGATGACTAGATCTTGGTGATAATACCTTTATGTATGTGTCGTCTGTATTATAAGATGACTAGATCTAGGTGATAATACATTTATGTATGTGTCGTCTGTAGTATCAGATGACTAGATCTAGGTGACATTACTCTTATGCATGTGCCGTCTGTAGTATCAGATGACTAGATCTAGGTGATATTACCTTTATGTATGTGTCGTCAGTAGTATCAGATGACTAGATCTAGGTGATATTACCTTTATGTATGTGTCGTCTGTAGCTAGTATCAGATGACTAGATCTAGGTGATAATACATTTATGTATGTGTCGTCTGTAGTATCAGATGACTAGATCTAGGTGACATTACTCTTATGCATGTGCCGTCTGTAGTATCAGATGACTAGATCTAGGTGATATTACCCTTATGTATGTGTCGTCAGTAGTATCAGATGACTAGATCTAGGTGATATTACCTTTATGTATGTGTCGTCTGTAGCTAGTATCAGATGACTAGATCTAGGTGATAATACATTTATGTATGTGTCGTCTGTAGTATCAGATGACTAGATCTAGGTGACATTACTCTTATGCATGTGCCGTCTGTAGTATCAGATGACTAGATCTAGGTGATATTACCCTTATGTATGTGTCGTCTGGGGTATCAGATAACTAGATCTAGGTGATATTACCTTTATGTATGTGTCGTCTGTAGTATCAGATGACTAGATCTAGGTGATAATGCCTTTATGTATGTGTCGTCTGTAGTATCAGATGACTAGATCTAGGTGATATTACCCTTATGTATGTGTCGTCTGGGTTATGAGATGACTAGATCTAGGTGATATTACCCTTATGTATGTGTCGTCTGTAGTATCAGATGACTAGATCTAATTGATATTACCCTTATGTATGTGTCATCTGTGGTATCAGGTGATAATGACTAGGTGATATTACTCTTATGTATGTGCCGTCTGTAGTATCAGATGACTAGATCTAATTGATATTACCCTTATGTATGTGTCGTCTGGGGTATCAGATGACTAGATCCAGGTGATATTACCCTTATGCATGTGTCATCTGTGGTATCAGGTGATAATGACTAGGTGATATTACCTTTATGTATGTGTCATCTGTAGTATTAGATGACTAGATCTAGGTGATACTACCCTTATGTATGTGTCGTCTGTAGTATCAGATGATAATGATTAGGTGATATTACCTTTATGTATGTGTCGTCTGTGGTATCAGATGACTAGATCTAGGTGATATTATCCTTATGTATGTGTCGTCTGTGGTATCAGATGACGAGGACTAAATTACATTATCCTTATGTAAAGATACTTATTGCTGCCTCATTTTGCTCTTACAATGTTAAAGTCATACAAACCACACACTATCAAGTGACACTGCACATATATAGTTGTCTTTGCTTACTTTTGGGGATAATTTCAGCGCAAACTCAACAGGCGATGGCCGCGGCCAAAGGCAGCGACCATGTTTTCGGAACCGGATGTTGATTTTGTGAAACGTTCTCTGATTGGAATTAAAACTTGTTAGAAAACAAGTTAAATAATAAACAGACGTATCATGTATACCCTTGACCCATCCTGTGTTCAGTATTCGGCTTTTACCAATGTCGAAAAACATATAGAACAATAGATGGCATATAGTCACTGCTACCCGTCCTCTTTGATATAGGTTTAGAGAATGGAATCTTCGTGGAACGAGCATGCTCGATTGTACCTCAATCGTTGTGAAATGTAGACAACAAAGGCTGTAGGCTGTAGGCTGTAGGCTGGAGCTACTAAAAAAGAGGAATCGACATAAAGGGAAATTTGACTATTGGAAAGTTGAAGTCATCCCCCTTGTCACACAGTCCTGTGGTTACGTTTTCGTCATTCTGAATCCGTATGCACAGATCTAAACATGAAACAGATGAGGTTGTTTCACTGGTCTCTTTTATTTCCAGTTCAGGTGGCCAAATCAGAGGAAAGGAATTTGCTATTTGACAATTATTGAACGAGATCACATTACCGATATACCTGAAGCTAAGTTAAACTTCTTGGCTATCTTCCCGTGTTTTGATTTTGCCAATCAGAGCAGAAATTCCCATTCATATGCATAAAGACACAGATCTGCAAGGAGCGGGGTATAATTGGTGCCTATGGTATCGCCAGCTTTTTGCCTAATTACCCTATCCCCATATTTCGAATATTGTTTTCTCAGCAAGCTTCAGATGACATTTGCTTTCATGTCTGACAAATTGTTCTGCACCTCTTGAAGAGTGTGATGAAGCTACTAGTATATCTATGGTCACCACGTTAAGTGACAGATGTACCATGGATCTAGTTTTTCCTCATGTTTGTCGTGAACGTTAGTGGTGTACAAAGCTTAAATATAATATTTTTTTATAGAATATTAAATTTCTTTTTTTTCTTTGAAGGAAAAACTTCACGCCAGAAACTGCAAAATTTATCATAACCAATGATGATATATATATATAAAGAAGACCACATTGATAGTATCATTCAACTCAACATACTATAATTATATATCGTCCAGAGCCATTACAAATGGAAACTGTTGAATCAGATCAGTACGAGTTGAAGGGCAAATGTACAATCGTATTAAAACATATCATACTGAAATAAAAACCTTTGGAAAAAATCTGAAATGTTTAATGTTCATTTGAACCGCGGTTCATTATAAACACAGGTTCAAACACATTTGTGTTCTGTTGCAGAACATGAAACTCGGGTATAAAGTGCCATCATAAAACAAATAGCATTATATCAGTCGAGAGGTATTTGTCAAGGTTGGTCTTAATCCACTATGTGTTGAAGACAGATAAACATATCGATAATAATCTTGACAGGTAGGCAGGCAGGTTCATTTGCATTAAAGGCCACGTGACCTAAAGTACAAAACATTTTACATCATAATTTGAGTTACCACATGAAGATATACAGACTCAAATTAACAAAGTTACTTATTAAGCGGAACCGTTCTTAAAAGATATGTTTAGAACTTGGTAAATGGCAATAATACATTCATATCTGACGAAGAACATCGGCTTTTAAGTGAATACTACTGCTTATTTGACAATTTAGGTAATAACAGTCTTCATAATGTTTACAGGCATATACAACATGAATTTCATCTTCAAATGCGTTGCAATGTTCTTACAGAACATTATCATCGGTCAATGTTGATACACCCCTACGTAGATGCTGCAAACCCAAATAATTGCAGCCAATTCTAAACTTTATTAATAGATGTTTGTATTCCCAGGGCATTTGAAGAGATAAATATTTTTCACAATCTAACAATGATTTCTGGGTCTTATAAAAGGTTAATACATTTGAGTCTAAGGAGGCATGCCATTCTTGCAAAGAACAGTTGTACACTCTTTCTTTAAACTGAGTAATAAATAGCTTTGGATCACCAACATCCTGTGAAATCCAAGCAATACCAAACCCGTAGGAAAATAATAAATGTCTTACATGTGTGGCCCCGTTGGGGTTTTCCTATCAACAGTAGCTCATAAAAAGAGATAGCAATTATATGGATATCTGTTAAAATTCATATGAAGCAATCTTAACCAATATTTAACACATCTTACAAAATAGGTAGTGTACAAAGGAACTCTGCCGCATTCACCCAGACAGCAGCGTTAAATGATCTGTATCCAATTTGTAACAAAAAATTACAAAACTTTCGGTGGGCAATTTCTATGGTTTCCCTTCTTTGATAGCCCCAGATTTCGCAACCATCTAACACAATGGGTACAATTTTCTTATCAAATAGGTAAAACGTATCTTTAAGAGTAAATTCAAGTCTCCTGATCAGGGATTTAACTGGCCACAGTGCTTTGGAAGCCAGTTGAGAAAGAGTTTTACATGCTCTGGTCCAAATGAGTTTTAGCGTTATAATTAAGACTAAATATTTATACATACTTACAGTATCCATTTGTTTACCATCAAAATACCACTTTTCATATTTTGATAAATGGCCACCCATTTTAAAGACAACAATTTTACTCTTGTCAGTATTAATTTCCATTCCCCATTTTTGGGGAGTTAAAATATAAAGCATCAAGACGCCTCTGGAGTTTAATAACACTATCAGCCACCAGAACCAAGTCATCAGCAAATAGAAGTGCAATTATATTAAGCATGTGTTCAGATATAAATATACCATCATCACATTTACCATCTAAATATGCTACAAGTTCATTAACAGAAAATATTATTCAGAAAATAACATGGGGCTTAAGGTACAACCTTGTTTTACACCACAAGCACTCACAAAATACTCTGTTAATCTCTTACCGTAGTCATATGTTACAGTAGTTTTTACATTTTCAAACATACTTTTGATGACTGTGAAAACTTTACCATGAATACCATTTTGAAGCATAACATACAAAAGCTTTGATCTGTTTACCATATCAAAGGCCTTACGAAAGTCAATGAAGGCACAATATACATTTTTACGTGAAATATACTTTTGCACAATAGAGTTAAGGATAAAAATGCTATCGATAGTCGACTGGTCTTTCTTAAATCCTCCTTGATATCACCAATCATTCCATGTACATCCAAGAAAAAATTGTAAACGTTTGTTTAAAATAAATGCAAACATTTTGCTCAAGACATCGAGCAGGGAAATACCTCGAAAGGATCGTTTCCAGAACCTTCTTATGTAATGGTAATATTATTGCGTTGCTACACGATTCTGGGTAGTGACCAGACTGTAGTACTTTGTTGAACAGTTTAAGAAGATATGGTAACAGGAATTCCTCAGCAGCTTTATAGAATTCCGAAGGTATCACATCATCCCCAGGGGATTTATTGTTCTTAAGCTTTCTTATAGTATTTATAACATTTTGTTCTGTAAAGTCGCTTGATAAAATTTCGTCTTGACAAAGGCAATCGTCACAGACAGAGTTTTCATGATGAGCAAGGAAGTCATGAATATTACTGGAGAATTCCTCATCTTCTGTTACTACAGGATTTGATAATTCCTGAAAATAGTCTGACAAAGACGAAGGGCTTATAAAAGGTTCCTGCGACCGACAAGATAAACATTCCTTAACAAGACGCCAAAACGCTGTACAGTCACTGTTACTTGCTGCCTAATGGAGTTCATCGATGACTACCCTCTTATATTGTAATTGTTTTGGTTTACAAAGTTTACGGAATTCAATCTTGGCTTTGTTATAACATCCTAAATTTTCTAAGTACGAATATTTTCTAAATATATAAACGTTTGTACTTATTTTTCTTCATCAATATCACTATAATTCAACTTTATACATTCACCAAATGAATATTGGATATGTTGTAAAGTATCAACTGCCCTGTCAACATCAGCATCCACTTCGTGTGTAAAACGAGTAAACAGTTGCTGTGTGGAATGGTCTCTTAACTTCTCGATATATATACTGGCTTTACTGTAAGTCAATTTGTATCTAAATCTATCTGTTCCTGTAGACAAATCGTCTATGTCTGGCTTATCACATTCAAATAATTGTCTAAAGACTGCACAAAGTGGTAGATGGTCAGATTCTGTACGAGTAATAACGCGGAAATCCTCTATAAAACTGTAAATGGGTGAGGATACTATGACATGGTCTGGGGTATTGTAACCCACTGGGCCCACATAAGTGAAATCGCCATCATCAGAAAATCTTCCATTCAGCAGATAACACCCGAATGTTTTACACAGATCAAGAAGTTCTCTACCATAATTGTTAACCACTGTGTCTTTTGTTTTTACGATTCGGATACAAATGTGGAGCTGCAACTTTATCATACTCAGTATTTTCTAAGGGGAGGAATCAGCAGCGTCAAGGTAGATATAATCAGGTTCAACACCCGTGCGACCGTTAAAATCGCCACAAACAATGAAGTCAGTATCAGGGAATTCCTCTTTCAAAGTTGTAATATAATTTTCAATAACTTCAATACTTTCATTGAACTGTGTCTTTTCTGGTTTTACATAAACTCAACCTAATATTAACCTTTTACCAGTTGTAATAACAGATTTACTAATGAGATATACTACATCTCTCCATTCGTCATCGCAGTAAAAGAGGTACCAAATTATTATCAATATATATAAGATCACCGCCGCTATGACAGATTTTTCTCTGGGACGAATAGACTGAAATGAGGAAAGGTTATTAAATACATGTTTAAAATCATCAACTGATTTTGAGTTTCCGTTAAGCATACAATATTATATTTCTTCAAAAAGTCACAAAAGTCCAAATTAGGTAACTTATTATATGAACAGTTCACATTCCAACACAGGTTTGTCAACAGCTGCGTAGGCGAGTTGCACGTGCTCCCCCGAGGATTTCCACTATCAGAATGTAGGTCACGGCCCAGTTGGTACAGGCAGCCCGTGCGCATGTCAGGTTGGGTCTGTTTGTTACGATTTTGATTGTTCAGTCCATAGTCATAAGTACGCGACACTTTCATCAGGTTTCTTGTTTCTCCGTCGAAAAAGAATTTAATATTGTCAATAAACAAATGTTCACCTTTCAAAAAATCCGTTTTCCCTTCTTCCCTTGCTTGTTTCAGGTAAGGCACAAGTTGTTTTCTTCGTAATCTTGTTCTTGGTGAGACATCTTCTGACACCCGGAGATTGGAACCCTGAAGCTTGTCCCTTCCATTCTTCAGAACTAGATCCTTATCGTTCCTGGAGACAAACTTCATCATTATCGGTGGGGGCGATGAACCAGTGCGTGTCTTCACAAGTCTATTCCCTGTATCAAAATGAATATTTGAATCTTTCATATCCAAACTGTCTGACTGGAAGGATCTCACTTTCTCTACTGTATCAGTTTTGCGTTCATGTTCATTCATTTCTAGACCAAACACAAGCAGGTTTTTTCTTCTGGAGTAATTTTCACTTTGATCTAGCCTCTCCTCCAAACTTGATATAGTAGGGGACTGTTTTAACATCATCTGTTTCAACTCAACGTTTTCTTTCTGCATAGATTCAAGTTGTTTGTTGACCTTCGCGTTATTTTGATCTACTGTCGATTTCAAATGTGTAAGCGTTCCACTCATGCTAACAATTGGTTAATTATCTGGTTAGTATATCAATATCGGAGTAAGGGAATGGCCGTATAAAATATTCTTGCCCAACAATTTCATTTACTTTCAGGACATCCGGCATGCCCAGCGAATGCGTTTTGATAATCTTTTATTGAAAAGACGAGGTCAAATTTCTTTTTTCAATAATAGTTTGCCCAGCAAAAATCCTGGATAGAACGGATGATTGTTTTCTCTACCATTTAACCGTAGAAAGGGGTGAGCATGTTGAGTTGAAACAACTTAACAACACCCAGACGAAAATCATCACTGGTGGACTACAACAGCAATAATTTGACAAAACTAGTATCATAGCTTCAAATGAGCTCAGTCAAGTTCTCGGGAGAGTGAAGTCACGCCAGAAGTTATCCTCGATTATCCAGAGAATTATATCTCTATTCTTTTATGATAAATACCCTCGACTGAATCGCCAATTCCATGTCTCTTATCACGAACTTCGTAAAGGATATCTCTCCCTCATGTAGTAAAACTATATGGGTCCAGGGTATTTATACTAATAGAATGAAGAACTACACTGGGATATCGAGGATGATTGTCTTTGACGTTAATAAGTTTTTCCTTCTGACACTCGTTTTTCACAGGAACATCATTCACTCCTAGAGTCACACTTACAGTAGTGGCATGTTTGGAGTTTCTACCTAGCGTAAAACATACCTTTATACATGTGGAATGGTCTTTTATGAAAATGGTAAAATACAGCGAACTTCTCTGATTACATGAAATCGGTTTTGATTTTCCGTTGTCAGTCAAACTCTTTGTCTCTGATGCAAACATTTCAGTCTGAACACAGAAAACACACAAAACACAAATGTTCCGAGGACAGAACACACTTTTGGGTGTAGACGCCATGGCGTCAGAAACGATAGGGTGTAAAGTTATCTCCAACTTTGCGAGACGATCATCATTTGGCAAAGCTGGATCACGTGTTCTAAAGATTTCGGTTACTCACGTTACAGCCTTCAGTTTGACACGCGAACCTTCAACCTGACTAATACTGTAACAGGTATTTAGTCTTGTCAGTGGTCATTGACATCCATCATTTTGCTGACACTGTGTTGTTTCTGTTGATCCTGATCATTATCCAGATATTGTCACTCAGACGTTTCTCAAAATGTAACGCAAGGTTAGATACTAATAGGTTATCATTCGTGTTTGTTATATAACATGACTCAGTAATATATGATGGCAGCAATAGTGTATCTATTGAGGGAAATATAATAACTTTTGTGAAATAATATATGCTAAACATCCTCTGTAGTGTTTGCCTGGTTTGGCTTCAACTGACGACACGATGTCACCATGACGAATGCTGATGATATCATTGAAATTGCTGCAAGCAGGAACGGGGTTGTATAAGAACTGGTGGCATCATATATCCAACCTGTGGAGAAACACATAAAGATTGATTATGGTGCATAATGACGAAGTCATAGAAGAAATACAAGGTCTCTAAAATATGGTTTAAAATGATATGGATGTAGGGATGTGCAAATGACATCAATCACTGGTTTTCTGGTCCAGACTGGACTATTTTAGGGCAATCACCATATAGATGGAATATTGCTTAGTGCAGAGTAAACAACACATGTACTTTGTTTGTTGTGAAAAAAGAAAGATTCAAATAGTCCCTTTTACTATCTCACCTGCCGTTGGTGCTCCTATGAGAGATCCCATGGCTGTGATGACTGCGTAAAGGCCAACAGAGAAGGAGAAGCTGTCGGAGCCTGCCATCTCCAGCAGTATGGATGGCATGAGTGCGCCACCTATGCTAGCATTACTCGCTCCAAACACTACCATATAGGCGTATAGAACAGGAAGTGGAACATTGAACAGGAGTAGAAACGTTGCCAAACCACCTATTCCACACACAAATATATGGAGTTTGATAGGGTTAATTCTTATTTTCGTTATCACAACTCCGTGGAGCAATTTACCACATGCCATTGATAATGCGTTGACGGTATACAGCATTGCAGCTCCATAGCTATCTGTAATGTTATTCTCCATGGCATAGGCTGACAAATGTCCCAGTATAATGCCAGCCCCAAAGAGAAACAAGGTACCACTCAGTACGTATAGGTAATAATGTCGACTCTTTAAAAAGTAATGATTTTCGAGAAAGGTTGGTTGCAAACTTATATCTTTCAGTGCAACTGTCTTTTCTGTTTTTGGTGAGACACCATGTAATAATGAATCAGTCGTCCCATCATTTATCTCTGAACCAGTATCTCCATGGCCACACGATTCGTCTGTCTCCTGTGCTATGGGTGTCTCCATTTGCGGACGTATTTTGGGTCCTGGAAAAACTGCCGAAACAACAATGATGTTGAGTTCCACTCCTGCCAGAATGAGGAACATTCCTCTCCAGGAGAAGATATCAATGAGGAGCTGCAGCACAGGTGGGTAGATCATGATCCCTAAGTTGGCAATAAATGCACTCACCCCGAACACCAAGTTAATATTAGTGGTGAATGTTTCTTTCACAGCTTCCAAGCACCCGATATAAGACAGACCTGCTCCAAACCCTGGATTGAGAATTGAGACATGTCAGTACTCAGACTCGCCGGTGTTTAGTAGCATGCATATTTGTAATCGTAATTTCTTGGATCCGCGTGGTAGATAATCTTGTCATTAGGACAAGTTACAGGATTCAACAAAATTAGATCATTGTAAATTTAGAGGTTCGATTCAAAGTCAAAGTAAACTTCTTTATGTAAGAAATCAGGATATTACTTACAACTGACATGACGGTTGTGAAATTGTTTCATTCTTGTTAACAGTTTCTCTTTATTCATCAATAATACATGGGAGAAGATTATCTGCTTGACAGGATTTAAAACTCCACAGCCAGTGGCGACTCGTACCCGCGAGCATTCCATATGTGACGAACAAGTGAGCGATGTGAGTGGTCCACATACTGGCCAGCAGTCCACCAGACAGGATGATCCCTCCTGTCACGGTGACCAGCCGACTGCCGAAACGATGCATCACCAAACCTCCAACGGCACCTAAAACGGGAAGAGTCCAAGGGTGGATTGAAATTGATATTGCATTGGGCGTTTCATGAGAAAGTTTTAAGTCTGGCACATCGATGTTGATATGCTTACATGTGACATATATAAGTATTGACCTGTGTTTGATACAACTTGGCGTGCTTCAGTCCAGTGATTAGCTGATAATTAACTTCGACACGGAGGTTCACCACTCCTGAGCTTTAAAATGTACAAAACTGAGTACATGTACAGAGAAATCATCAAATTTTCCCTCGAGTTTCGATCACCACAGTTTAATAATGAACGGTTGCATGCTGTTTATGGGGAGGCTGCCACATCACAAGCCACGATGAAACGTTTAGTGAAGGAGTATTACACTCATTAAAATCAGATCTAATTTCTTAATACCGCTAAACATCTCATTACCGGTCTCATCAGGACAACCTTTCACGAACTTTGACTGACCAATGAAATGACTAACAAAAAGTCCACATTAGCCAATCAGAAAGTAAACTCTCTCGGGTCATACAGCACTTTCCAGTCTACCCTTTGAAAAATATTTTAACAAAGTCCTCGATTCAAAATCTGAAAACTGAACAAAAGAATATTCTGGAAGGTCTAATAGTTGGCTTATAGTGTATGGCGGTACTTCCAACGGGATATGCAAAGTATCTTATGTTCAAATGTTTAGCCCATTGAAACGAAAGATAGACGGTGATTGTGACAGATTCAATTCATGTTAACCTTTGCGGGGTGCATGAATACAATACAAAAACACATTTCGACTTTCAACTTTCCTGGTTTGGTCAGTGACGCTCAGATTGCCTGGATCAGAAAGGTCGTTTTGACATAACCAGTAATGTCATAACCACCTGTTGTCACCTGTGTGGTCAGTGATTACACGAGGATCAAGAATTGGTTGCTGCAGTGGAGGACTGGTAGATAGACCAGGATTTGACCTATAAAGCAGGGATCAACTGACCAGAAACTGCAAAGGGACCACGTTGAAAAATAAGTATAGCTCACGACAATTCCATTCCAACTTTTTATACCCCTCGCATGACCCCAATACTGGCGAAGTAAACAATTAATTACATATCACAGGTAACTGAAACGAACATAAATATTAAAACACGTTCTTTAAAACAGTGTCCAAATGCAGCGTCCACCACTCAGTGTGGTATTGGAAACCTATAAGACATTACTAGCTTCTTGGTGTTGTGGACAGAGCGTTTGTCTTTAGGGGTGGACCATTTGAGATAGGGGATGGGGGGGTTTAAAAGGGGACACAGCTCATAATGCAAATAAATAGCTCAGCCTCATTAAAAAGTCTCAATCGCAATATGGCCATCCCCATAAATACAGAGTATTTCGTGAGCAAAGCCATAATCTTTGACAGAAAGACATGACTATGAGAGACAGTATGTCTGTAGCCCTTATCTATTAATTAATCTTTTAAAATCTTCCATTTCAAGAGGCCATATCATGCAAGTCACTGTGCTGTATCCTTGGATAAGGTTATTGACTCTGCGTGTCCCACTGTGATGTCACTGAAACAGTTGTTTACTGTGATGTGAAATGACCATTAAGAATCATTTACCCTTACTTGGAAAAAATAAAACATGTATCTTAATAAAAATAACTGACGTCCAAAAGAAACTTTACCAGAGTTTGAATTCACTCTTGCTCAAAAACAACAAAACATACATGCATGAAGTAAAGTGTATTGAGAAGATCAATATATCAACATCATCAACACTGAAAATGACAATCATACCGCGACCGAGAATGACATCAGAGCCCCCTAAAGTTGGGTGTGGTACTATACTCGAGCTTTCAGAATCATGGACAATAGGCAGAGTACATAAACAATCGCTCACGTTCAATAACAAGTCATTAGTAGCGTGTGTGACCCCCAAATGCCTCTTCGTCGCACAGAAAAAGTCATACTCTGATGAGGTCACGTGGGATTTGACGCCATTCGTCTTGGAGGGCAAAGATCGGTTTTTGCCGGTTGGCTGTAGAGTGTGGTCGATCCATCAAGTCCCAGAGGTGTTTTATGGGGGACATGTCGGGTGAGCGTGCAGGCTGCGGCAGGACGTTGACGTTGCTTGCTGCGAGGAAGTTAGTGACAATTCTGGCTGTATGGGCTCTAGCGTTGTCATGCTGATAAATGACACCATGTGGCTGCTGTTGGAGAAATGGTAGGACAACTGGACGAAGAATGTTTTCCATGTACCGCTGAGCTGTCAAGTTTCCTTCAACGATGACCAGCGGTGTCCTCTCCTGCCCACAGATCCCTCCCCACACCATGACACTCCCTCCACCATATGGTACGACCTCCTGCACGCAACACGCCGCCGTTTGTTCACCCCTTCGGCGGTAAACACGTTGTCTTCCATCAGCCCTAAACATACAGAATCGACCTTCGTCAGTGAAGACAACCCCCTGCCAGTCACGTTGTTGCCAACGTCGTACAGTCCGGGCCCATCTCAATCGCAGACGACGATGTTGCGCTGTCAATAGCTGTCCTCTGTATGGTCTAAAAGCCCTGCTTCCATGAGCCCTGAGTCTCCTGGCCACTGTGTGTCTACTAACCCTTTGACCTAAGGCATTTGTCGCCGATGACGTCACTGTCAATAACCTAAACTGATGAGCAAAAGAAACGTTAACAACCAGCATTGTTTGTTCCTAAACACTGAACAGGACCAATGCCAAGAAAGATACTTGTATTGTCAAAGGACATGAATTAACAACATCATTACAAGTTAGAATCAAGTTTTCCTCAAAATGTACCCTATTGCAGTTTGAGATGCATCAGTTGTGAGGATGAAGGGTTTATTTTAGTCAGAATATGCAAGGATGGGGGCTGTTGTAAGGGCTTGCTTTTGCTTTTAGAGTGCCTGTTTGCAATTAGACCATTCGGGAGGCGCGTCATTTTTCCGGAGTTTGTATAGATGTGAGGTAATACCAGAAAAGTTTGCCACAAATTTGCGATAGTACGAGGCTTAACACAAGAGATGATGCATGACGTGGACAATTTTTAGGGGGTGGTATCTGTGTAACTGAAAGTATTTTTGAAGAATCGACATGGATGCCATCTTTGCTGAAGATACTGAAAGTAGGTGACTTGTTTTGTTGCGCATTTACATTTGCTTGGTTTTAGAGCAAATATTGATATTTGATTGATATTTTGGAATACTGCATTGAGGTGATTCAAATGTTCTGAAAACGTTTCAGAAAATATTATGATGTCATCCACATATGTTAATATTTACGCCAATTCATTTCTTAACAGTGCCTGAAATGGTTTGCTGAAATGCCATGAGCATTTTTAGGCCAAAAGGGAGGCGATTCCGTTGGAAAAACAGCAACAGGTGTAATGAAGGCCGACTTGTGTTTTGTATCTTGATGGAGTGATATTTGCAAAAGCCACTCGCTGTAGCCTATCTATGCATTCAACAACATCTTTAAAACATGGAAGAAGGGAAAATATAGGCTTAGTTACTGCATTAAGGCGTCTATAATCTACGGCAAAGCGGTAAGAGCTATCGCGTTTTTCAACCGTGACACTGGGAGAGTGCCATTCAGAAGAACTGGACTGAATGATATTGGCTTCTAACATTTCTTGCACCTATCTGGAACATTCATTCCCAATGGGTCGTATGGGTCTGGCGTCACCCGTTTGTTTTTTGATGATGTAAGTGAGTGGCCTAATCCTGACCAAACATGGGCAAAACCTGATCTTCAGGATAAATTCGTTTTACTGTACACTTGTACTTTCAATATTGTAACTATTTGTAAAACGCTTTTGAGGACAAAAGTTCCACAAAGATCAGTGGTATTGTTATAGTGGTTTGGTTTGGTTTGTTGTTTAACGCCACACTCAGCAATATTCCAGTTATATGACGTCAGTCTTTAAAACTTCATTTATCCAAAATACCTGTTTCATAAGTTCTCATATCATATTTAAATTATATTGTGAAATTATAGATCTTCATATGACTTCAGCCAACCACTGTTGTCTGATTGTTTGTTGTTTAAGCAATATCAAATGTTCAGTATTCAATCATGGAGTCTTGACAGCACAAACAAATTATGATATATACAGGTATTATGAGCATCGATCGATGCCTTCAGAGTTTACTGACATGCAATCACCCAAGTCAGCGATTCATTCCACGAGCAAAGGTTGTTATTTCTAACCCAGAAGCCTCACCGGTCAAACTCTGAGCGTTCATACAATGCTAATGTAAACTGCAGAATATACTCACCTGTTATGCAGCTCGTGAAGTACTGAAGTGACGTGATCCATGACGTCACGGCCGCACTTTGCTGGAAGGCGTCCCTGAAGGCGACGTACAGGATGCCGGGAGTGAACCACAAGCCACTGAAGAGAAGACGCACAGACGAAGCAGCCACTAGGACAACCAGGTGGTGGCCTTTCACTTTACAGCAGCAAGGTGACATGGTGATGAAGCTGTCAGACGGGTATAGCCTGTCAATTTGTCAATAAAAAAATATTCTACACGTATTTTCGGTTGTAGGTAGTCATAAATCTCGCAAAACTGTAATCATCTATCCAACCATACGGATTCTATCAACATTTTCCTTACTGGTAAAAGTTGAAGTTTGTCTTGATCTTGGGCAGTGGGGTAGCCAAGTAGTTAAGCGTTTGTTCGTCAAGCCGAAGACCCGTGTTCGATTCCTCACATGAGAACAATGTGTGAAGCCCATTTCTTGTGCACCCTGCAGTAATATTGCTGGAATATTGCAAAAGCGTTGCAATACCATACTCACTTACTCATTCTCTCTGTTCTGGGGATCATCTTCGAGCCTCACTAATCCCTTCTTGAACTCAACTGCCCACCTTTAGACAGTGGCAAAGGAATGAACCTCTTTCAGGTGGTGATATATGTTGACAGTATGGTAGGCAATTGTGTCCATTTGCATCAAAAGAGAATACCTAGTCACTTTGATCCCTGCAGAAAAAGTGATGCACGGTTGTGTATTTGGTTTCAATTATCATGTCAGTGAGCGAATTTCCTATACAATTCAACAAAACACGTATCATGAAGAAACAGGTTTGAAAGAAATCCTGAAATGACCTAATCAAACGTGTCATCATTAATTCCCTCTTTCCAACGCACACATTCTTCTCACATTCTTGTGCACAGCATGATCATCAATTTCAGACAGCGGGTTCGCCAACAGAAACACTGAGCTGCTCATTCAGATCGGCGGCTTTATTACGAAGCTGTCTTACAACAAATCTACAACTAGTTTGAGTCTTAAACCAGAGTCACCTCTTCCCAACAAAACAAGTATCAGCAACATATCAGTATCACCAAGACGTCAGTATCAGCAACACATCATTATCAGTAACACATGAGTATCAGTCAAGACGTCAGTATCAGCAACACATAATTATCAGCAACACATCAGTATCAGTCAAGACGCCAGTATCACCAACACATCAGTATCAGTCAAGACGTCAGTATCAGCAACACATTAATCTCAGACACGACATAAGTATCAGCAACATATCAGTATCAGACAAGACATCAGTATCAGCAACACATGAAACACATCAGTATCACACAGACGTCAGTATTAGCAACACATCAGTATCACCAAGACGTCAGTATCAGCAACACATCAGTGTCCGCAACACATCAGTATCAGCAACACATCAGTATCAGGCAAGAGGTCAGTATCAGCAACATACCAGTATCAGCAACACATCAGTCTCAGCAATACATGAATCTCAGTCAAGATGTCAGTATCAACAACAGCAATGCATCAGTCTCAGCAACATACCAGTATCAGCAACACATCAGTCTCAGCAATACATGAATCTCAGTCAAGATGTCAGTATCAACAACAGCAATGCATCAGTCTCAGCAACACACAAGTCACAGTCAAGACGTCAGTATCAGCAACACACCAGTATCAGCAACACATCAGTATCACCAAGACGTCAGAATTAGCAACACATCAGTATCACCAAGACGTCAGTATCAGCAACACATCAGTATCCGCAACACATCAGCATCAGCAACACATCAGGATCAGCAACAAATCAGTATCAGCAACACATCAGTATCAGCAAGACGTCAGGATAAGCAACACATCAGTATCAGCAAGACGTCAGTTTCAGCAACACATCAGTATCAGCAACACATCAGAACCAGCACCACATCATTATCAGGCAACACATCAGTATCAGCAACACGTCAGTGACAGCAACACATCATCATCAGGAAAGACGTAAGTGTCAGCGAGACATTAATATCACCAACACATCAGTGACAGCAAGACGTCAGTATCAGCAACACATCAGTTTCAGCAACACGTCAGTGACAGCAACACATCAGTATCGGCAACACATCAGTACCAGCAAGACGTCAGTATCAGCAACACATCAGTTTCAGCAACACATCAGTATCAGCAACACATCAGGATCAGCAACACACCAGGATCAGCAACACATCAGTATCAGCAACACATCAGGATCAGCAACACATCAGCATCAGCAACACATCAGTACCAGCAAGACGTCAGTATCAGCAACACATCAGTATCAGAAACACGTCAGTGACAGCAACACATCAGTATCGGCAACACATCAGTACCAGCAAGACGTCAGTATCAGCAACACATCAGTGTCATCAATACATCAGTATCACGCAAGACGTGAGTGTCAGCGAGACATTAGTATCAGCAACACATCAGTATCAGCAACACACCAGTATCAGCAAGACGTCAGTATCAGCAACACAACAGTTTCAGCAACACGTCAGTATCAGCAACACATCGGTATCAGCAACACATCAGTATCAGCCTTACATCTATCCTATTGTTTGGTTGTTATACCAACAACTGCCTTTTGACTGGAAGTGTTTATTTTCCAAACGCTAAAGTGACTGATGCGGTTCATGTATATCGGAATCATCATCGTCAAACTGTACTCAGTAAGATGCCATATTTGCCGAGTGCAATAATTTCTAATATCGTCATCATCAATCACGTGCATAATGCTATGGTATCTGCATGCTCTCAGATCTTTGTGTTTTTGGGATAATATATGGTTGACACAACATGGCCAGTCCGCACTATAATTCATTTATTATGAAGAAGAATATGTACATAAACCTTTTGTCTTCTGTCTCATTTGGAAATAGTCTATACCCTACCTACATTGTTTTTTATGGCTCACTGACCTCTTTACCTTATAGAGATTGGCCTCTAATTTACTTTTCCCTCATTTTATTGTTAAATCTACCGAGGATGTTTTACTGGAAGTGGGTACTTCGCGAATGTGGTTTAATATGTATATATACTGAACAGCATTGAAAACGCACCACCATGAAAATGGATGTTTTGTATCTGGGCTTAAGTCATATGAAAATATATAAGTGAATAAGTAATATACGACGTTCTGGCTTTGCGGTTGTACTAGCGCTTTCCACGAAGCTCTTCTTTCAGTTCAGGAAACTTGAAATCACTTGGTATCAGGCCTGGCGAGTGTGGAGGGTGAGCAAGCTCTTCGAACCCATATTGTCGCACAGCTGCCTTTGCAAGTCGAGAGGTGTGAGTAGAGACATTGTCATGACGTAGTAGAATTCCAGCAGTCAGCAGCCGCCTTTCTTTGATAGAATCTATCAGGAGATAAAGCAGTTCAGCATAGTAGGCACCAGCAATCGTCGTTTGACTTTCTAAGTAATCAACAAGGATCACACCCTTTGCATCCCAGAATACAGGGGCCATAACTTTCTTCACTGATCTGGAAGATTTGAATTTCTTTGGTTCTTGGTTCAATTCTTTTTTACTCAAGATCAGAATTTAGAAACTTGGTCACCCAAAGTGAAGATATCCTATTCATCTGTAAATGTTCATGAATAATTGTTCCAATGGATCCATGGCTTAGACCTGTGTCTTCCTCATTATGTATAAGTTTTTCTATCTCCTGGATTCAGTCTTCATTGGTGGAAGTTGAGGGACGTCCAGACATAGGGTCATCATCAAGGCTTGTTCGCCCAGCCTTAAACATAGCTGCCCAAAAGTTGAAAAGTGGCCTAGGGAACCTATTCACAAACACTTGTGACATGCGGTCTTGATCATGAATTACTTGGGGAGTACTTTTCTCTAAAGTCAAAAACTTTTCTCTTCTATTACTTTGTCCTCAACAGACACTTGCAATGAACAACTCAAACAATGTAGTTCACTTTGTGATAGTCTACAGATGACAGTTAGTCTGGCTTAGAACTTTTTGACCAGCCCTCGTAGGATATAAATTCTACTACTTGTGGCTGCCAAGACTCATCCTACTGCTACCAACCTGTGGGTAACAAAATATCAGGGGACTTCTCTATTGTTGACAATATTGTTGCCAGTTATTCTAATATGACCCAAAATGTCTGAGCAGCATTACTACATTAATTGTTTGATCAAAGAACGTGGTATAAGTGACAATTTCAAATAAGGCCAGTATGTAAACTGAGAAAGAAATTTGCCTAAATCACGCATTAGTACTACCAAACCTGAAGATATATTCATTCCTCTTGTGTACTAGATTCCAAAGCTCCATATAAATCCGGAAATATAGATGCTTCAAAGTTAAATGTAGTGTATTGTACTGAGCAAATTCTTTGATCAATATAACTGTTGACACTCTCACCCTCGGTGACAAATGATGTATATCGCTCTGTACTCACCAGATAGACATTTGGGCACTAAACCAGTTGGAGAAACTCTGTAATTTGGCAACCTATTCTACCAAAATATATGTCTTTCTGAATCTTTTCTTTCACCATAGTCATATTCCTGGGGCACTGACGTTATGCTGATGTTGTAATGACAGGACCATGATAACCAGGTATAAATCCGTGGAAAAATCTTAACCAGATGCTGAGCTGCCTCGTCATTGGGGTAGTTCCTTGCCATTTGTTCCAGGTCTGATTGGTTTCCAGTCTGGTGTGTAGAGTCCAGACAGTTGGGGACCATCCTCTGACTGTGATGATGGGTGAAAGCCATTCACACATTTTGCGCAGTTGTGTTTGAATTTACACAGGTCAAATAGAGTCAGTGTTGAATCCCTTCCCTTGTGTTATCACAATAGTTGATGCTAGGATGTCATGGAAAACATCCAAAGTTCAACATTGATCCTACCCCATGAATTCTGTGGATTCCTGGCTTGTAGCATGAACTGTTCGTCATAGTTCAGCACAGTGTGCATGTACTTTATCATGACTTGTCCTTTGTCTGGATGCTTTTGCTGTCATAGACCGTAAAAACCGTCTTCCACTCTGATATCGACTTAATCCTTTCGGCCAGATCTATTGGTTTTTCAGACAAGTTAATTGATGTCAACAAAGATTGCAGACATGCTGGCGTTATCATTTAATTCCTGTCAGACTTGAGCAATAAATTAAGGTTGATATTCTCATGCTACCATATCTTTTGCCAAAGTCTATCCGGCACATTGGCTGTCAGATAATTATCCCTGCAGTGAGTCATAAGGGGGGGTAACTCGCGCCAGACAGCAGTTGGGAGGGAAGGAATAGGGATCTGAGCTGATACCTCCCCCTCTGGAATGGGCAGATTAATTGGAGGGGTTTTAAAAAGCATTCATTAAAACTATTTCTACAGTAAATGGAATTTCCACATACTCTTTGCCAGACGGTTGAGCCCGTGTTCACTTGAATGTCTGCCCCGAGACGGTGGAGGAGGCCCAACTCAATCCCCAGCTCAAATCACTCCAGAGTGACTTGGCCTAGGCTGAGATCACTCTGGAGTGACTTGGCCCAGGCTAAGATCACTCTGGAGTGACTTGGCCCAAGCTGAGATCACTCTGGAGTGATTTGGCCAAGACTGAGATCACTCTGGAGTGACTTGGCCTAGGCTGAGATCACTCTGGAGTGACTTAGCCCAGGCTGAGATCACTCTGGAGTGATTTGGCCCAGGCTGAGCCCTAGGCTCA